GTGCTTACCTTGCTCCCGGAGACCCGGTCCCTCTCGGGAGGGTAACAAGGGAAAGTGTTCAGTGCAGATCAGTGAGTAAGCACCAGCCCACCTGTTCTTACCTTGCTCCCGGAGACCTGGTCTCTCTCGGGATGGTAGCAAGGGAGCCGTCTGAGCACTAGTATAAATATGACTATATTGCCTCATATTTAAATGATAAAAATGGATATGGTATTATAAAGTACTTTGCTTGCTGTGGAGGTCAATAAATTTCATTTTGAAATTTACTATTATATTAGATTTATTGTTTATTATTTTTATTTGAAAATTCTCAGGAGTTGTGTGTGTGTATATATATATATATGTATTTAGTGAATAGCGAGCATTCGGTCCATTTTAAAATTGAAAAGACAATGGTGTATACATATATAACTTTGAACACTACTTCATTCTTTAATACTTTTTATTTGTTTTGTCAGGGTTGGACCAAGTTTTATGAGTTTTCTTTATCAGACCTTCGAGCTGGGTATAATATTATTGACAGGCTTTTTGATGGTAAGTTCTAACAATGATTTTTTTTTTTTAAATCTGTTGTTAAAAAATTTTATTTGAGGTTATTAGCTATGTGATTTCTTCAGGAGTGGCTTGACTTCATTAGTTTTGATCTAACACATTACATTTCTGATTGATCTATATCTCAGGAAGCAGAAAGCTAAAAAGACCTTCTGTTCCCTTTGTGACCTTCAAAAGTTTCCGGCTTCAGCTGAAATACTACCATCTCTCTCAAAACTCACTAAACCATACTCACTGTTGTTGAGTCGATTTTGACTCATCGTGACCCCTCCTTGGGTTTCTGAAGTGGTATCCCTATGAAAGTAGATTGCTCAGTCTTCCTTCTGAGGAGTGGCTGGTGGGTTTGAACCTCCAACCTTCTGGTTAGCAGTCAAATGTCTTAGGCATTATGCTATCAGAGCTCTCTCTCTTTCAAAAGAACTGTTAAAATTCTGTATAGCAAACTGAAGTTAGTACCAAAGATCTATGAAATCACAGTTCAATTGTTAAGTAGGAGTCAGGAATCAAGGTACCAATAATAGTTAGAAATAGAATAACAAACAAGATCATATAATCACATCCTGTGAAGCAATAGAGCTCTTTGCTTCCAGATTACAGGAACAGTTCAATCTATAAATTTTATTAGGTGGGGTTAAGACAGGGGGACACTGGATTAGAGTGCTGGATTTGAAAAGAATATATTGACAGAAATCTCAAACTTAAAATTGCTACCAAAAAAACTGTTGATTCCTCCTCTTTCCATTTCAATCCTCACTCTGCCAAACTCACTTTTCCTTAAGTCTGTGCCATTTTACTAGATGACACCTCCACTCATGTACTTGATCAAGCTTGAAATCTGTGAATCATCCTTTATTACTTTTCTCATCCCCAAACGTCTAGTGCTTTGGCAAATTCTGTTCCTTCCATCTCCAGATCACATCCTGATCCAATTCACTTCTTTTCAACTTTATCAATACCTTGGTAGTTGTATGAATAACTGCAAATATAATTATCAGCACAGATCCAATTCTTGTGAGGCAGAGGTCAACTACATCCCATATTTCTGCATCGTCTTAAGCTTCTGTACCAGTGTCTCTGACACTGGCCACTCTCCCTTCCCTCAGCATCCTTCCCTTCCTATTTTGTGTTTGGCAGTTCACTGCAGTTTCTCACAGAGCTCGTGAACTGTACTTAAAATTAAGTGGTTTGTTAAGGAACAGGGTACAGCATGGGATCAGGATCAGTCACAACTCAGGGATCAAGATCAGGAAGCATCCAGGCATAGTCCTGCTATAGTGCAAGACAGTTTTCTGAGCTCTTCTTGGCCCCCAGTAGATAAGTTCTTCTGGGTTCCCTGAGGACAGATTCCTTCCAGCCCTCTGAGGACAAACTCCTCTTGGCCTTGACATCTGCCACTGCCAGCTCTACCACTGGACCTCTGCGTGGCCTCTCAGTCTTCAATATTACAGTCTTTGACTCATGTTACACCTCCTTTAAGGTGGTTCCTTACCTCTTCTCTCTGTTTTTTCTCTCGTCTGTCTTCCTTCTGTTTCTGTTTCAACTTTTAGTCTCTAAAAAAACCTCTACTGTACTGTCTGCTTAAATACACAAACTTCTTGTATTTTAAAACATGACACCCCCATCAGGGCCATGAACTGACCAATTCCCTCCCAGTAGGCTGCAAACACATCATTTACATCATAGGCTACAACTCACCTCATTTACATAGTCTATTGACTAATCCCTGCAAAGTGTGTATCAGTCACAAGGCACTCTGCAGCCTAGTACCAGACAAAAAGTATCAAACCAGGTTGTTTCCAGCTTTTCCAGGAAATTCCAATGAACCTGGACAAAAGTAACAAACCCTCTGGGGTAGAAAAGTAGGGCAAAGATAACTTCTCTGGGTTTAGGGAAAAAATCTCTCAAACTGTTTTTCCAAAGAACCGAGGTGAAAATCCACATAAAGGACCTCATTTCACTACAGTAGTTAAGAAAGAACTTCTTTCTTAGTCTTCTGGCTTATACTTTAGCATCTTTAAAATAATTGTCCACACAATAGACAAATTTAATTTTTAGAAAAATCAACCAAAATTCACTGTTTAAAACCTGTTAAAAATGGCATTTATCTTCTTTTTGTTACTTAAACAAGCCAGGTTTTTTACTACCTGAAGAATTTTGCAGCTGCCTCTTCCTTCTGTCTGAATTGTTTTCCTCCCAGAACATTATATGGCTTTCTTGTTCAGTATATTCTTCAGAAAGAATTTTCTTTACCACTCAATCTAAAGTAATCTTAGAATCATTCTCTATCTCCTTGCTCTGTTTCATTGCTTTAATATATTGTACTACCTGCTATTTTCTTACTTATTCATTAATTTGTTTTCTTATTTTGTTTCTCTCTTCCTACTGGAATGTAATCTCTGTTAAAGGAGATTTCTTGACTGTATTGTTTACTGTGTATTTCTTAACATCTGGGACAATGCCTACCCTATTGTAGACATTCAATTAGGGTTGCTAACTTAATGACACATCAGAAATTATTCTGTAACTTGGCTTTGGTTAAAGGATAAGGATGGATATCTAGTATGTAGCTCTGTTCCATTTTATTCTATATGTTTATGAACTTAAAATTGTTTTTTTTAAACAAAATATATGTACAAAAATGTGTTTATATCATAAGCTTAGAGCTCAATGAATTTCCACAAACTGAACAAACCCATATAGCCAGCTCCTCAGTCAAGAAACAGAACATTACCACACCCCAAACTCTACTCCACCTCATGCTGCCTTCTAGTCACTACCACCTTTTCATTACCCCCTCACACCTGTTCCTGGGGTAACACCAGATCCATACTATTATTATTGTTGTTAGTGCTGTCGAGTTGGTTCTGCCTCATAGTGACCCCAGAACAAAACACTGGTGGGTGCTGCGCCATCTTCACAATTGTTGCTATGCTTGAGTTCATCATTGTAGCTATTGTGTCAATCTATCTCATGGGGGATCTTCTTCTTTTTGACTTTACTTTACTTTATAAAGCATGATATCCTTCTCCAGGGACTGATCCCTGCTGACAACATGACCAAAGTATGAAAGGTGAAGTCTCAGCATTCTTGCTTCTAAGTAGCATTTCAGCTGTACTTTATCCAAGAATGATTTGTTTGTTCTTCTGGTAGCTGTGGTACATTCAGTATTCTTTGCCAACACCACATGATATCAGATGTCTTGTTGATGTTGTTGTTATGTGCCGTTGAGTTGGACCCCACCCATAGCGACCCCTCCTTGGGTTTCTGAGGCAGTATCAATACAAAAGTAGATTACCCCATCTTCCTTCCAATCAGATACCTATTGATATAAATTAGTTTTATCTGTTTTATAAAACTGGAATCATAAAGCATGTATTCTTTAGTGTTTACGTTCTTTCAGTCAACATTTTATTTCTGATAATCATCAGAATTCTGATGATTATAATAATATGTTGCATGTAGTTGTAGTCCATTTATTCTCAACGCTATATTGTGTGATTATATGAACATTATCTACTGTTGATGAACATGTGGGTAGTTTTCAGTTTAGGATAATTGTGAATAAAGCTGCTATATACGTTGGTAAATATGTAGATATATTTATGTTGAATATATGTAGGAGTGGGATTGTGGGTCATAGAGTTGGAATTCGTTCTCTGTTAGTAGTTAATACCAAATAATATTACAAGTGGATTTTTTGTTTACTTCATTTTTTAAAATATTATATATCAGAAAAGTATACATTAATGTACAGTTCAATAAATTTTCACAAAATTGAACCTGTGTAACTAGCTCAAAATTAATAAACAGAATATTATCAGCACTTCAGCATCTGCCCCCCCATACACACGCTTCTCTCCATGCATTTCCCTATATTCTCCTGTCCTGTGCCAAAGATAACCACTTTCCAAAGTTCCATGAGCTAGTCTTTTTAATAATTATTTTGATGCAGAATTTATTGGATGGTAGTACATTAATACTTTGGCTTGCATAAAAATTAGGGAATTTTCCAAGATTCCTTTAAATATTTATTTTATTATTCTAATGACAATATGAATATTTGGGAGGCAAGTATGTTATTTGTGCTTTTTTACAGATGAAGAAACCAAAGCATAGAAATTTGAATGTTTTGATTATCATCGCATTTCAAGCTCATGATGAAATTAGAAGGTCTAAATTAATAACAGTATCACTTTACATATTTACATTGAATTACATGAATAAGACCCAGATGCTTTAAAATGCAGTTGAATGTCATGGTGGAAAGCTAACTGTATAATCCTATGATTATGAAATATCTGGCTATTAAGGGACATTCATGTATGTGAGGAGCTATGGTGCCACAGTGCTTAAGGCATTTGACTGCTAACCAGAAGGTTGGTAGTTCAAACCCACCAACCACTCTATGGAAGGAAGACTGGGCAGTCTACTTCCATAAAGATTTACTGCCTCAGAAACCCAATGGGGATTGCTGTGAGTCAGTATTGGCCCAGTGGCCATGGGTTTGGTTTTTGGTTTTTGGTTTCATGTAGGTAGAATTAAATCCAAAAAATAGAAAAAAGTTATAACAAGGGACAATAGTCTCAATATCCTGATCTGTAAAACAGGAATAATAAGTCACTACCTTAGTTGCTTTAATTTTTGGCTTTAAGTGAGAAAACACACAGAAGCTTTTAATATTTAGTGCATTCAGTATTTGTAGTAATGCTATCAGTAATTGTTTGCAACTATTATTATTGCTATTCTAATTTTTATGTCTGTTCATTTCCTTTATCCTTGTTGTTGTGTGTTGCTATGTGCCTTTATCCTTAACCAAATAAAATGTGTCTTGAGAACAATGGTTGTAATAAAAAGAAAGATAACACTTATTTCAGTTTTCTGAGGTTAGATTGTATTGAATACTTCACCTATTTGCACTTTGTCTCTTTTATAAGTTGGAAGATACAAGAATATCTCTATATGTAATAATGGACTACTTACCAATGACTTGGACCATTGGCTTACTATGTTGCCTGCTGATCTTGGGATTGTGCCATTTTACTTGCTGACCTTGAGTTCATCAGCCTCTGCAGGCAGCAGCTGTATGAGTTAAGAGATGCCTGCAGCTCCAGTGGGTCTGGAATAAGAGGCAGAGAGCTGAAGCCCAAGGTTGAGGGCCTTCGCCCAACCTGTAGGGTTGACACACTGAATTGGGGATTCTAGCCACTGTAAAAGAATAAATTCCTGTTTGTTATAGCCATCCACTTGTATTTCTCTTATAACAGGACTAGAGATCTAAGATACACCCTGTGTCTCAATTTCTTCATCTGTATAATTGGATAATATTAATTCTTCTCTTTTTCCTTTGTGAGTTAATACATGAAAAACATTTGAAACATTTTGCATGATTAAATAATTTCTCAATAAATATTAGCTGTTATCATTAACATTAGAGGAGAAAAATGTGGCAATCTGCTTCCATAATTTACAGCCTACTCTGTTTTGTAGGATGTCTATGAGTCATAGTTTGACTCAATGACAAAGGGTTTGGTTTCATTTTTTTAAAATTAATATTAATGGGTATTTTAAGGAATGATTTAGTTGTATTAAATATATATTGATATATACTATATATGTTACTTTTTCCCAGGATTTAGCAAGTATTTTAGAAATGAAATTAATAGAAGTATTTTTTTTTTAATTATAGGTACTAAAGATGTACAATGGGAATTTGTACATGGTCTACTTGAAAATGCTATTTATGGTGGACGTATAGATAACTATTTTGATCTCAGAGTTCTTCAATCATATCTGAAGCAGTTTTTTAATTCTTCAATAATTGATGGATTAAGTCAAAGGGACAAGAAAAACATTTTTCCATATTTCATATCTCTTCCAAAATCCTGCAGCATTTTGGTAGGTAAAAATAATTTTTTAATTCTATTATCAGACAGACTTTTAGATAATTTCTTAGTATTGTGAGTTGTATTTCTTTTTAAATATCCAATACATTTTCTATCATGATGTAGATAGATATTTTTCTTCTTTCTTTAAATTGTGATTTGGGTAAAAATATACAGAGAAAATTGGTTTTCTATTGAAAAATCCATATACATTCTGTTTTGTGACATTTACTGCAATCTCCATACGTCCTTCCTGTACCCACCCCTTCTCTTCATTCCTCCTTTCCATGTCCTCCCACCTTCCTAGCTCTACTCCTGGGCAAATGCTGTCCTCTTGATCCCATATGCTTGATTGTTATAATGTGTGAATACCCCTTTAATTTTTCTGATCACTCTATAGGTCTGTCTATTGTTTGGCTGCCAGTTGAATCATGGGAATTAAGTTCAGTTCCTAGCTTGAAGAGCATCTTGGGGCCATAGTCTCAGAGATTCTACCAGTCCTCATCAGACCAGTAAGCCTGGTCCTTTTTTTTTTTTTTTTTTTCATTTTGGATCATGTTCCACATTTTCCCCCACTCTACCAGGACCTCTTATTGTGATCCCTTTCAGAATAGTCAGTAGTGGTAGCTGGGCACCATCTAGTTCTTCTGGTCTCTCAGGGTGATGGAGGCTGGGGTTCACATGTTCCATTAGTCCTTTGGATTAGTTGTTTTCCTGTGTCTTTGATTCTCTTCATTCTTTGTTTCAGATGAGGAGAGACCAATAGTTACAGCTTAGATGGTTGCTCACAAGACTTAAAGACCCAAGTCACTACTCACCAATGTAGTATGTGGAACATACTACTTACTATATTGTGCCAATTGACCTTAGTGTTCCCAAAGACTGTGATCCTGAGCCTCCATACCTAGTGTCTCATTCCTTCAAGGTGTTTGGCTATGACTAAGATGTTTTCATAACTTTGTCTCCTCTATGGTCTGCTACATTCATGGATATGTTTGCAGCACATAGAAATATATATGTAGAGATAGCCTCTGTCAAACCTGTATATATCTGTGAGTTTAGTCCCATTTGCCTTCCTATCCTGTTCAGCTTGAATATCATCTATGTATTGACTACTAAATTATTCTTATTACTTATTATCACAGGATTGTGTAAGTAATAGTAGTCACTTTTTTACTTTTAACTCTTGTGCTTCTCCCTGTCTCTTCCACTGCCTTGATCATTTTGTGCTGACCTTTCCCTTATTGTGTATTGCCTTTCCCTTCACCCAAGTTTATACATGTGTACTCTATAGTTGGTGATTGACCCTCCCTCCCCCTCTCACTCCTGGTAACCTTCAAAGAATAATTTTTTCTATGTGTAAACCTTTTATTAGTTTTTTATAGTAGTGGTCTCATACAATAATTGTCCTTTTGTGATTGACTCATTTCACTCAGCATAAGGTCAGCTAGGTTCATCTATGTTATGAGGTGTTTTGTCGATTCATTGTTATTCTTTAACATTGTGGATTTTATTTGTTATACCAGTAACTCTTTAAACTGACTCTCTAAACTCTAGTAAGGTATCCTATAAACCTTTGGGTACTCATTGAAGATTGGCTGATTATCATAATGAAAATAGGCAAGTGTGTAGGCAATCCTGGGAGTATCCAAAGAAAATTTAAATAATGTAGGCATGCTGTGAAGAGCTGGAATGAGATTATCTGGAATTTCCTGGTTGCTCTTACATACTGAAGAATAAAGTCAAAGATTATTTAACAAATATCTTTCTTCACTTTCTTGTCTGTAAATTTAAAACAGCTCTAAATACAAGTACTTTTCTTTATCTTTCACAGAAACTTTTTTTTGCATATAGTTATTTTAGCAGCTATAGTTTTTTGTCTCAAGTATAAAAGCTTCCTAGAATACAATCATTTATTCCAGTTAAATGTAACTCAAAGACTTAAATTCTAGTTTATTTTGTCATAAAACCTATATTTGTTCAAATGCCCAAATATGTAATATGAAATATAAATTATATATGCATATTAATGTATATATAATATGAAATATCATATATTTCTTTATGAATTATAAAGATGTATATTCAAATATAAAGTTCCTTTCCTTTTGTGCCATTTTGTCTCATCCAAATATTTTTCAGGAAAATTTCTTTATTTGGGCAATATAATTGTCAAAAAAACAAAAGCTTAAAAGCCAGTATTAAAAATATCATTTTTATTAAATATATCTATCATTTATTAAGTATTTTATGTTTTACTTTTCCATTATTCATTGATTACGTAATATGCATTGAACATCTGCCTGATAAAAGGCCCAGTTCCAGGCATTGTGGATACATTGGTACATCTATGGAGCTTACCTCCTTTTGGGAGAAACAGTGAGAAAACAAACAAATTAGCTCTCATAGTTATCTGTGTATTTATTTCAGATGGTGTACCTCAAATCTTCCATCTCTATTGTTTGGCATTTAAATTGAAAAGTAAGATACATATAGAAAAATACACTTAATAAATGTACAATACAGTGAATTTTTATACACTGAACACAGCAGTGTAACCAGCAATAAGATTAAGAGATCAAGAAACAAGACATTATCGTCTCTTCAGAGGCCCCCTTCGTGTTCTCTTCCAGTTACTACCTTCCCTACAAGGTTAATCATTATCCTGACTTCTAATGACATAGTTGTTTTGCCTGTTTTTGGACTTTATGTAAATGACATCATATGATATATATTGTTTTGGGTCTGAGTGAGGATAAATCAGACTGGATTTGTAGCTGTCAGTTAGTTTAGTAAACATGTCTGTCTTCAGCTGGACAGAAGACTCTAGAGAGTCTAGATAAGAAAATTTCAGTTATTTTGAAATGAACAAAGTTATAACTCTACAAAGAAAAACAGTTTTAAATATAGAGGATGACTTGTGAGAGTCAATATCTAGCTTTCTAATTGAGGTACATGAGGGAGAAGGTGAAAATTTCCCAGGTAGATAAGCATACACACATGTATGTGCACATGCCCACACACACAATACATATACATACATATATATATATATATATATATATTCACACAAACATACACATGTATAAATATGTATGCATCTAGACAGTATGATTATGCACCTTGAAGAAGTTTTCATATGTTGAGCTATAGGAAAAAAAACAAATTTCGAAGGACAGTATGACTTTCCAAAATTTGACATATTTACAGATCCTTTATTTTCAAACTGGGCTTCCTGGAATCGGTTTCCAAGGGAGAGAAAGGGCAGTGGGAGGGCAGAGGATGAGTCCCTTCACTCCTAATTCAGCAAAAACATATCAGCTTTTCTGTGCTTTGTGTTTTCATCTTCTGCATGGGATTTCCTTTACATTTGAAAATCACTGTTATGGACCTATCTATTGATATAAATGATCTTTTGTGTGAAGATATATCCTAAATTTTTACAAAAAGTTTAGTTTTCTTATAAGCTGATATATTTATTTTAAATATCCTTGTTTACTAATATATTCTTTATATTATTTTAAATAATCTGTGTCTAATTATATAGAAGTTGTTTTTTACAAGTAGTAGTTCTTACTGTGTACTTTTGTGTTTCCTACTTTTGTAAGAATCCCATGACCATGAGACAATTATGTAACACCTACCTTAAAATAGGAGCTCTGGTGGTGTAGTGCCTAAGGCATTTGACTACTAACCAGAAGGCTGGTGGTTCAAACCCACAGCCACTCCTTGGAAGGAAAGTTGGGCAGTCTACTTCCATAGTGATACCACCTTGGAAACCCAAGGAGGGGTCGCTATGAGTTAGACCTGACTTGTCTTTTCATGAAAACAAAACAAAACAATTAATTACCATCTTGGAACAAATTGAATAAAATTTTCTTGGTCTACACTTAGTTTGTCATGTAGAATCATGAGAGAATAACTCTACAAATGAATGCCCTACAAGTCAAACAATGCTTAGAATAATTCTTGGAATGAAATGGTGGGATTATCAATGCATTTCATCATACCTCACCAGTAAACTGAACATTAACTATGGAATTACTTTATGATAAAATGATTTATAAAGAAGTACTCACTAGTATACTAGAGTCTGCCTGTATGTTTAGGAAATTTCTACAAGTTAAAAAGATTTCTGGAATATTTGTCATTTTAATTTGTGATAAGCAGAGCTGCTCCTTGTAGAATAATGTTTGGTAGGTTACAGGAAAAACAATTATTTATAGGGCTTTCCTGAAAACATCCTACATAATAATTTGCACATAATAGGCATGCCAAAAGAAAAACCTCAACTCCTTGCCATTGAGTTGATTCTGACTCATAGTGACCCTATAGAGCGAAGAACTGACCCATAGGGTTTCCAAGGCTGGAGTGAAAATTGACTCGATGGCAGTGGGTATGGTTTTATGGAAGCAGACTGCCACATCTTTCTCCTGTGGAATGGCTAGTGGATTCAACCACTGACCTTTAGGTTAGCCATGGAGCACTTTAACCACTGTGCCGATAGCACCTTTAGAGCAGGCATAGCCCTCAAATATGTATGTTTTAATCAATTCAGAAGTATATTTAACATAGGGACTTAGGATAAGAAAATATACTATCAAATAAGTAAAAGAAGTAATGACAAAGGTAATCACTTTTTCCCATAAATAACTTGAGCTCATTATCATATAGACAGAAAGTTAGATTTACCTGGAAAATGTAAACTATTAATAATTAACAATTTAATAACTTTGTAATATCCATTTTTTTTCTGATTTCAGTAGTTGTAAGTTCAAACTTCAGAGAAATTATTATTTTTTTTTACCTTTTTTTATTTAGGATTATCGTGCTGTCATTGAAAAACTTCCCGAGGATGACAAACCTGGTTTCTTTGGTCTTCCTGCCAATATTGCTCGTTCATCTCAGCGCATGATCAGTTCTCAGGTAAATGAAAAAAAGAAAAAAATCTGCCATTTAGAAAATATATGGCTACTATGCTTGCAAGAAATACTAAATTTTGTTTAATATAGACTTCACAAGCTTTCATTTTTTGTTTTTACTGAACGTAATAGATTCCTCAGTTTTACCTTAAATGTTGTTGTTATGTGCCGTTGAGTCAAACCTGACTCATAGTGACCCCTCCTTGGGTTTCCGAGGCAGTATCACTACAGAAGTAGGATTGCCCAACCTTCCTTCCGAGGAGTGGCTGGTGGGTTTGAACCGCCAGCCGTCTGGTTGGCAGGCAAGTGTCTTAGCCACTATGCTACCAGAGCTTAAATAAGTTTTAATATATTTGCTGAAATTACTAAGCTAATATTGAACACTATCAACTAGTTGGGCAATCTACTTCCGTAGTGTTACCGCCATGGAAACTCAAGCAGGAGTCACTGTGAGTCAGATCTGACTTGATGGCACATAGCAATAACAACAACAACAATATCAACCTGTTACAAAATACTTTTGTTTTATTCATGTGATTTATTTATTTAAGGCTACTTTAAATTTATGTAATTAAGTGTTTCACTGAAATTAATATTTTTATAACAGATATCAAATGCAGTAGATAATTTGCATTTGCATGTTAGTTTACAAAAGATAATTTTCAATGTTTTATATTACTCATGAGTAAACATGTATAATTGAAGGATATATGGATTTTCAAATTGATATAGAAAAATGTTATCCATGAAGAACATAAGTTCTTTTATTAACACCAAACAATTAAGAAGAACTAACATTTATTGACCACTTACTGTGTACTTAGAACTTTCCTAAGTGTTTTCCATTCAGGAATTTATTTAAAATCATCATAGACTCTATGAGGTAAGAACTGTTATTTTCACCATTTTACAGATGAGGAAGGTGAGGCACAGAGTGTTAAGTAACTTGCCCAAGAGCAAGTAAGAGGCAGAACTAGCATTTAAACTCAGGCTGTCCAAGTGAAAGAGATGATCCTCGTCTTATTAACTACAGCCCCTCAGGCTTGGCTATACTGCTGAGCAAACGTGCACCATTCCAGGGACAGGGAATCAGGAACCATCCCATGAGTTTGTTTATTTTATTTTATTTTTTTCAATCTAGCAGTGTTCCCTTCCCTCTCCTACCACCCCTGGTAACCAGCAAAGAAATTTTCCTTCCATATATAAACCTTTCCTTGACTTTTTACAATAATGAACTCATACAATATTTGTCTTTCTATGATTGACATTTCACTCAGCATAATGTCATCCAAGTTCACCCACCTTATGTGGTGTTTTGCCGATTCTACATTGTTCTTTAGGGTTGCATAGTATTCTACTGTGTGTATGTACCATAGCTTGCTTATTTATTCTTCTCTTGATGGGCACCTAGGTTGTTTCTGTCTTTTTGCTATTGTAAATAGTGCTACAATGAACATGGGTTTGCATGTATCTCTTCTTGTCCTGGCTCTCACTTCTTTAGGATATATACCTAGTAATGCAATTGCTGGATCAAATGGTATTTCTAACTCCAACTTTTAAAGGAATCACCATGCTGCTTTCCACAATGATTATATCATTTTACAGTCCCTCCAGCAGTCTATGAGAGTCCCAATCTCTCCACATCCTTACCAGCATTTGTTATTTTCTGTCTTGTAAATTTTGCTAGTGGTGCTAGGGCAAAATGGTATCTCATTGAGCTCTGGTAGCAAAGGGCCTAAGGCATCTGACTGCTAACTAGAAGGTTGGTGGTTCAAATCTTGTAGCCACTCCGTGGAAAGAAGATTGTACAATCTTCTTCCATAAAGATTTACTGCTTCAGAAACCCAATGGGGCTTGCTGTGAATTGGAATCAACTCGATGGCCGTGAGCTTGGTTTGTTTTGTTTTGGAATGGCTAATGATCATGAGGAGCTCTGGTAGCATAGTGCCTAAAGCACTTGACTGCTAACCAGAAGGTTGGCGGTTCAAACCCACCAGCCATTCCTCAGAATGAAGGTTGAGCAATCCTACTTCCGTAGTGATACTGCCTCAGAAACCCAAGCAGGGGTTGCTATGAGGTGGGACCGACTTGACAGCACATAACAATAACAACAACAACAACAACAACAACAATGATCATGACCATTTCTTCATGTGTTTGTTAGCTGTCTGAATATCCTCTTTGGTGAAGTGTCTGTTCATATCTTCTGCTCATTTTTAAATTGGATTATTTGTCTTTTTGTTGTTGAGGTGTTGGAGTTTTCTATAAATTTTGGAGATAAGTCCCTTGTCAGATATGTCATTGCTGAATATGTTGAGGTGTAATTCATACTGAAAGCTGTAGTCTTTGGTCTTTATCAATACTTCACTTTCAGCAAGCCAGGTTATGTGATTTGCATATCTCAAATTGTTAATGAGTTTTCCTCCAATCCTCATGCTGCATTCTCTTTCAGATTATTTGATTAGCAAACAAACTGAATAAGTATGGTAAAAGAATGCAATCTTGATACGTACCTTCCTGATTTTAAACCATGTGGTATCCCTTGATCTATGTATAGCTTCTTCATGAACTCAATTAAGTGTGCTGGAATTTCCATTCTTCACAATGTTACCTATAATTTGTTATGATCTACACAATCCAATACATTTTCATAGTTAATAAAACGCAGGTAAACATCTGTCTGGTATTCTTTGCTTTCAGCCAAGAACCATGTAATATCAGCAAAGATATCATCATTCCAGGGCCTCCTCTGAATCCAGCTTGAATTTCTATTCGTTCCCTGTCAATATACTGCTGTAACTGTTTTCAGATTATCTTCAGCAAAATTTTACTTGCATGTGATGTTAATGATATGGTTCAATAATTTCCACATTCTGTTGGATCACTTTTCTTTGGAACAGGTACAAGTACAGATATCTTCCAGTTAATTGGCCAGGTAGCTGTCTTCCAAATTTCTTGGCATAAACAAGTGAGTACCTCCAGTGCTGCTTCTGTTTGTTGAAACATCTCAATGGCTATTCCTACAATTCCTGGAGCCTTGTTTTTGTTTGCCAATTCCTTCAGTGCAGCTTGCACTTCTTCCTTCAGTCCTGATTGTATGCTACCTCCTGAAATGGTTTAACGTTGACCAGTTCTTTTTGATACATCATTTGCATCATTCAAAAAGTATTTTTTGCCTGTAGAATCCTTCAATATTGCAATTTGAGATTTGAATTTTTCTTCAGTTCTTTCAGCTTGAGAAATGCTGAGCATGTTCTTCTCTTTTGGTTTTCTAGCTCCAGGTCTTTGCACATTATGTTATACTTTGTCTTTGTGAGCTACTCTTTTATTTCATCATTTCTTCCTTTCACTTTAGCTATGTTCCATTCCAGAGCAAGTTTTTTGAGTCCCTTCTGACATCTGTTTTGGTCTTTTCTTCCTTTCTTGTCTTTTTAATGACCTTTTGCTTTCTGCATTTATGATCTTCTTGTCATCCCACAACTCGTCTGGTCTTTGGTCATTGGTATTCAGTGCATCAAATATATTCTGCAGATGGTCTAAATTTAGGTGAGATATAATCAAGGTTGTATTGTGGCTCTCTTAGACTTATTTTAATTTTCTTGAGCTTCATCTTGAATTTGCGTATGACCAACTGATGGTGTGTTCCATAGTCAATTCCTGGCCTTGTTTTCACTGATGATATTGAGTTTCTTTAGTGCCTCTTTCCACAAATGTAGTCGATTTGATTCCTGTGTATTTATTGCATCTGGTAGGTCCACATATATAGTCACTGTTAATGTTATTGATAAAAGATTTTTGCAAAATTATATTATAAAGTCTCCGGCATCATTTCTTTCACCAAGGCCGTATTTTCCATCTACCAATGCTGCCTCTTTGTTTCTGGCTTTTGCATTCTAATCACCAGTAATTATCAATACATCTTGATTAAATGTTTAGTGAATATCAGACTGCAGAAGTTGGTAAAAATCTTCTATTTCTTCATCTTTGGCTTTAGTGGTTGGTGGATAAATTTGAATAGTAGTAATATTAACTGGTCTTCTTTGTAGGTTTATGGGTATTATCCTATAACTGATGGCACTGTACTTCAGGATTGATCTTAAAACTTTATTCTTATTTTTATTTTTCACAATGAATATGACTCCATTTTTCTTCAATTTATCATTCCCAACATAGTAGATCATTTGATTGTCTGATTCAAAATGATCAATACCAGTCCATTTCAACTGACTAATGCCTAAGATATTGTGTGCCATTTCATTTTTGACAACTTCTAATTTTCCTGGATTCCTACTACATACATTCCATGTTCTGATTATTAATGAATATTTGCAGCTGTTTCTCCTCATTTTGAGTCATGGCACATCAGCATGTGAAGATACTAAAAGCTTTAGTCCATCCATGCCACTAAGATCTACTCTACTTTGAGGAGGCAGCTCTTCCTTTACTTGTGTTGAGTATTTTCCAGCCTAAGAGGCTCATCTTCTGACATTATATCAGAAAATGTTTCACTGCTAGCCATGAAATTTTCCAGTAACAAATAGATCAGACTGTGTTTCACTGCTTTTCAGTGGCAAATTTTTCTAGATGTGGATGGCCCCATCCTTCTTTCTTGTCTGTCTTTTCCTGGAAGCTCTGCTGAAACCTGTTGCTCAAATAATTTCTTTTAGAAGGATCAACACAAAGCTGGCCCCTCTGAGCCAGAGTATAAAGATGTCCCAAATGTCCAAGTTTTCCAAACTGCTACACCACTCCATTATCTCTAATATAACTGCTCTTCCTCCCCTCAGTACTTTCCCTGTAATATATCACAGAACTCACACACTTCGAAGGAAATGGCTCACATGGTGGTGGAAGCAGGGAGGGTGGCAAGTCCCACATCCATAGGTCAGGTGAATATCTGGAGGATTCTCCTCACTCATGTGGTTGCAGGGGCTGGTGAACCCAAATCAGCAGGTCAGATAGACTGGCTACTGCCTCAAGTCATCGGGTGAGATGATGACAAAC